GGGGATTTTAAGGGAGACCATGCTGCCCCGACTTCTCGCCGCCGGGCTTGAGGCCCACCCGGCGGGGCTCCTGATCCAACCAGGGCTACTAGCCAGCCAGCCAGTTCCACGCGCGCTGTGCCACTTCGACTACCGTCTTCAGCAAAACAGTTGGAGGAACCTCGACCATCGAATCTGCTGCCTGCTAATTCAAAATGCAGGATGTCATTTCAGCCTTTTCTCTCTTTCTCTCACTCACGCACACAATTCTGGTCTGGTACTGTCACTGGGCTAACTATATGGAGCAGTAAGCCCCCTCTTCCCAAGACGCGGAGTAAATTAGTCGCACTGCATACGATCCGCTTCTTTTATTCCATCTTTAGTTCGAATGTGTGGCTGACCACATAACCGGGCTTTGATTTTCATCACGTTGCTGCACATGGTAGCTTTGGGCCGGCGTGCAATTCCAACACCTAGTCCCGCAGCGATACGGTCAGTCGCTTCTGAGACGTCTCTGATATATGGTAAAGGGTGCCATATCTTCGGTGGTGTTTCTGTTTGGGCCTACCGTGGCCGAACGCGTAGGCATCGGTTTATAAACGCCTTTGGCTATCCATTCAGCGTAAATTAGTCGCTGAGATATCGGGCTTTACATACCTTTTCCTTCGATCTGCTGCAGTGGGTCTGGATCTGCTTGAAGAACGTTCTTACACAACTTCGTTTGTGAGCAACCGGATGGTTACTGTTGTAACCCAGTGTGTTCCTGTGTCAACACGGGTTATGTCCTCCAGTACGTGTTAGGCAGAGAAGACGGACAGCTAGTACTTTACTGTCAGGCGTACTAGTACATCAGTTCTATTTCCGTGTGTCCAGCAGCTTGCCATCTGTGGTCGGTCTCGTCTCGGCAGCAGTCTCGGGTCGTCGGAAGCGTACCCAACAACAGAGTCTGCCTCTTGTCCGCGGCGTCGTACTTAAGGACCGGCAGCCTTTGTTCCCTATTGGCTTCTCCGCTAGTGGCCCATGCGAGGAGCCATCGTGCGTCAGCCGTAGTGACACTTGGCGCGCGCGCTTTGCCACTGGCCAGGCATGACCTCACGGGTGGCAGACTCCGGCCGCGGTTGTCCTTTCGTGCTCGTGTGTCGTCACTTGAAGGTCACTCTCTTTGCCCGCTCTCCATGCACCGGTAGCCTGTTCAAGTTCTTTATTTTCGTGTCCTCAGGATGGCCCGAGTTATGACTTGGCCGTCGTAACAGTTACTAAGAAAACTGAGAAGTTGTATTGTGTTAGTGGCGTTCCTGTAAACTGTCGTCTCAGTGATACCGTCGAGCATTCTCTTGACGAGGACATCAAGGAAAGGCAGCTGCTATTCTTGTTCCTCTTCCCTGGTGAATTTTATGCTAGGGAAGAGTCTGTTGAGCAAGTGATAACAGTTTTTCAGTATGGTTTTCTGGACGATAACAAACATGTCTTCAACGTAACGACACTAAAAAGCCGGCTCATATTGGGTAAAAGCAGTGCTTTCTAGCTCCTATAGGACCAGCTCTGCTCTCAGCTGGCAGACAACATGACCTTATATCTAAGTTGCCTGAGTCTGTGGCTGACAGCCAACATTGCTGTCAACCGCCCTTGTCCAATGCCCCTGATCATACCCGAGCACATGGGGCTCCTGGATAGTGTCGTTTCATTCTGATTAGGTCTGATACTCGGATGTTGGTTGGTTGGTTGGTAGCCCTTGTTAAATCACGGGTCCCCACCGGAGTCCAAACTGGGTGCAGTTGGGAGACGGAGAAAAGTCGCGACCTCAG